CCGCGGAGCGATATCGCTGGAGATAATTTGTGCGAATGCGAATTGTCTTTCTTCAACGTGCTGTCGCCACCAGACCAGCTTCAGGATGCGGTCGCAAATAATTCGTGCTGGCCAAGCAGCCAAATGCAGGGTGAGTCGAATACTTTCTAGAGAAATATGCGATGCCATATGGGGTGCGATGAATGCGTGATGGGAACAGTCATGCTTGAGCCTCTGCAGTCAACCATGCCAATGTACAGAACGAAACGCTGACAGCCTCGAAGCCTCACCTACTCCCTTCGCTCCGTCAATCTGCCCTACAGCCTCGGAGATGTCTAGCTACAACTCACGACCCGCCCACGGCTCGCAATGTCGACATTGCCTCGCGCACCCCGCCATATGCCAAGCTGCTCTCTCGCCTTGAGGAAGTACGACGTGTGCTCGGTTCCTCACGCCAATTGACTTTGGCCGAGAAAATCCTGTACTCGCATCTTGAGAACCCAGAAGAGTCGCTCTTGAGTAACACAAATGGCGGACGAGACATTCGAGGCCAGGCCAACTTGAAGTTGAAGCCCGACCGCGTGGCCATGCAGGATGCTAGTGCGCAGATGGCTCTGTTGCAGTTTATGAGCTGTGGATTGCCAACGACGGCTGTCCCGGCAAGTATTCACTGTGACCATCTCATTGTCGTAAGTACCCTTTCGTTTCATTCGGCTTCGATAAGACTCCCCGGCTGACACGATAGCTATAGGGCGAGAAAGGCGCAGAGGCGGATCTTCCGCAATCCATTGCGGGCAACAGCGAGATTTTCGATTTCTTGGAGTCGGCGGCGAAGAAATATGGAATTGAATTTTGGCCACCGGGTGCGGGTATCATCCACCAGACTGTCTTGGAAAACTACAGTGCACCGGGTGTGATGATTCTGGGAACAGACAGTCATTCGCCCAATGCTGGTGGTCTGGGATCTATTACTATTGGTGTGGGTGGCGCAGACGCAGTGGATGCTCTGGTAGACGCGCCATGGGAGCTCAAGGCACCCAAGGTCCTGGGTGTCAAGCTCACTGGAGAGCTCAGCGGGTGGGCTTCTCCAAAGGATGTGATTCTGAACTTGGCTGGTCAGCTTACAGTCAGGGTACGTGACTTGAGAAATTGAAAAGTGCTCTAGGCTAACGAAGACGCAGGGTGGCACTGGCTTCATCATTGAATACTTTGGTCCTGGAGTGCAATCCTTGAGCTGTACTGGCATGGCAACCATTTGGTAAGGATGAAAGTAATCAAAACTCGCGACTAGAACTGACAATAGTAGCAACATGGGTGCCGAGGTTGGTGCAACTACATCGCTCTTCCCCTTCTCTCCTGCACATGTCCCCTACCTGCAGGCCACACACCGTGGCTCAATTGCCGAAGCAGCCACCAAGATCTCTCAGTCGCCAATGCAGCAGAATCTCTTGCGATCCGACCCAGATGCCGTCTACGACAAAGTCATTGAGATTAACCTCTCGGAACTTGAGCCGCATATCAACGGACCCTTCACCCCTGATCTATCCACCCCTCTGTCCAAGTTCAAGTCGGTAGTCGAAGAGAAGGGATGGCCAAAGACATTCGGTGCCGGTCTCATTGGTAGCTGCACAAACAGTTCTTACCAAGATATGACACGCTCCGAGGAGATTGTGAAGCAGGCATCAGCTGCCGGTCTCAAGCCCAAGGCCGACTTTTTCATCACACCAGGCAGTGAGCAGATCCGCGCAACACTGGACCGGGATAACACCCTGTCTACTTTCACGTCCGCTGGAGGCACTGTCCTGGCAAATGCTTGCGGGTGAGCTTTAACACGCCTTATTTATGTTTGCACTACTAACAGACTCAGACCCTGCATCGGCCAGTGGAAGCGTACAGACGAGGTTCCAAAGGACGAGTCCAACGCCATCTTCACATCCTACAATCGCAATTTTCCAGGGCGCAACGACGGAAATCGAAAAACAATGAATTTCCTGGCATCTCCTGAGCTGATTACGGCCATGACATACTCTGGGTCTACCACTTTTAACCCCATGACGGACAGCATTCCCACGTCATCTGGCGAGCCTTTCAAGTTTGCGCCACCCAAGGGCTCGGATCTTCCTTCAGAAGGATTCGCGGCCGGCAACCCAGACTTCATGCCCTCGCCAGGCGTACCCGATCCCAGCGTCGAGGTGATTGTGTCGCCTACCTCTAGCCGCTTGGCGCTGCTTGACCCCTTCCCAGCATTCCCTGACTCCGAGTTTACTGATCTGCGTGTGCTCTACAAGGTCAAGGGACAGTGCACAACAGACACCATCTCTGCCGCTGGCCCGTGGCTCAAGTACAAGGGCCATCTGCCCAACATTTCCGAGAACACACTTATCGGTGCAGTCAACGCAGAAACAGACGAGGTCAACGTTGCTTATGACGTGGACGGCAAGAAATCCGGCATTCCTGAGCTGGCAAAGAGGTGGCGCGACCAGGGTATTGAATGGCTTGTCGTGGCGGAGCACAACTACGGTGAAGGCTCTGCACGTGAGCATGCTGCGCTGCAACCGCGCTATCTGGGAGGACGCATCATTCTTGCCAAGTCTTTTGCCCGAATCCACGAGACCAATCTCAAGAAGCAGGGTATCGTCCCTCTGACATTCGCCAACGAGGCCGACTATGATTCCTTTGCAGCCTGCGACCAAGTTGCAACAAGGGGGCTGTTGGATGTGTTGAGAAGCGGCGGTAAGGGAGAAGTCGAACTGGTGCTCAAGAAGAAGGACGGCAGCGAGAAGGTCGTCAAGACAAAGCACACGCTTTCCAAAGATCAGTGTGGCTTTGTGCTTGCTGGTAGCGCGCTTAACCTTTTGGCGAGGAAGGGAAGGGAGATGAGGGAGGAGATCACCAGGAGCGCCGAACTGACTGACTAGGATTGAGTTGGCAAAATGGGGACAATGATAAAATGGGCAATTAAAAGGGATGGGCGCATGGCGCTAGTGGTATTTGAATTTTGTGCATTTTAGCAATCAGTGGTGATCAGACGTTGTTGCAGAGCTACTGGTAAATCTGTGATCCGCAATGTTTTTTCCTTTGGAATTGGGATATATGTCAACTGAAATCAGTGTAACAACAAATCTCAAAGATCGTATGCTGCCAACATTTCTCAGAGGGTTTCTGGTGGGGTCACGTGGGGCGAGCATTAGCTTAAATTGCGTTCACCCTGTTTTCCTTCTTAGATCAGTCTCATACCACACGATGAGAGAGTTGCTAGCGACGAGACAAAATATGGTTGTAACCACAGCCAAGATCCCACACATGCTTCACTAGCATCGCTGCAATGCTTCGCCGGCGAACCCGTTGACTAGGTCTTCATCGGCGAGCAACCTTCAACGTCGAGTATTTTCCTTACTTGTTGTCGCCAGTCCAATGGCGCCAAAAACACGGGCTGTAACGGCCAAAGCGCTCCAGTCGCTCCTCGTACGCATCGGCGCAGCATCATCAGGAACAAAGTCCAGTCTCGAGGAACGCTTCCGGCACGACATCACGCGGCCGCGCCTCTTCACCCGTCGTCCAGAATGGGAGTTGTCACGGCCAACAGATGAAAAACTCCGTGTTGTCAGCATCGACATGGGTATCAAGAACCTAGCTTTTTGCGAAGCAGAAATTTCGTACCCGGTTAAGGACAGTTTAAATGCGACTATGGACGTCTTGAGGTGGGAAAAGATAGATCTTGCGCCTGCGACTCGAGATTCTGAGACATCGATTGCCCAGCCGAGTGCGACTGAAAAGAGAGACATGGGTGCAGACGAAGATCTTGATCCTTATTCCCTAGATGTCTTGTCGAGAACCGCCTATAAGCTTGTCAAAGAGACCATCTTACCTGGAACCCCGGACGTGATTTTAATTGAAAAGCAGAGGTGGCGATCAGGCGGCGGTAGCGCGGTGCAGCAGTGGACTCTTCGCGTCAACACGCTGGAAGGCATGTTGTGGGCGGTTTTGAAGACGCTGTATGCGGAGCGGCTGGGCATGCTGCGGAAAGAGATGGATCTCAATCAGGGAGAGGAGAAAGGGCTATACGACGTTTTTGGCGTGGATCCAAAGCGCGTGGGTCACTACTGGCTGGGACAAAGTGCGCAGCGACATGCTGGAGGAGAGGGGACTTCATCTCTAGCAGCAGGTGCACCGGAAGAAGCCGGTCCTAAGCTGAGTCGCTCGAAAGCAGAGAAAAAAGCTAAAATCTCCCTGTTGCGATCGTGGCTCACTGCATCGCCGGCCTCTACGGCGTCAACAACTACCAAAAATACACCTACCATCTCCTTCAAGATTGGCAAGAATGCACAGTCGACGTATCAAGCGCTGTGCTTCCCTGTCAAACCCAGTCGCAGCAAAAAGAAGAGCACTGTCGAAGAGACCCCGGATAGCGTTCCAGAAGACATGTCGGCGGCGCAGATGAAGAAGTTGGACGACGTTGCAGACTGCTTTCTCCAAGCTGCGGCGTGGGTTAGCTGGGAGTCGAATCGGGTGCAATTGCGGGACATCTGGAGAAAGAGACTAGGTGCGATGGATACATTGCATGACGGTGATTCTGGCAGTCTAGATAACAGTGTTCTGTTAGATATGCTGAGGGAGGTGGAAGGGTGAGAGAAGGTAGGCTGGTGAAACTGTGGTTGTGAGTGGGTATTTTTACGAGCGACAGAGGGACGAAGACAAAATGTACTGGTACCATTCTCACAAATGCAAAAAAAGAAAAAATACCACAAGCATACGAAGATCTGATGGTTCTTAGATATGTATAATGCTCGTTGTCGAATCTATCCCTTTCTCACCACTTCACACCCCTACCACTATCCTATCTTTCCCCTCCGTCGCGTCCCCGCACAATGACGTGTTCTTCAGCCCTTGCCCCGCCCTTTGTATCCACAAACGCGGAACCCAAGTTTACGGCAGCTTTGCTAGTCATCAACCAACATATTTTGCACTATATGAATTAGTCATGTCTCAAAAATTTCAAGTCTTGTTGATTTCCCTCTCAAGTCTCGGTGGCGCAATGGTAGCGCGTTGGACTTCTACTTAATCTCCTCCAGGTTAATCCAAAGGCTGCGGGTTCGAGCCCCGCCCGAGATGCTTTTTGCTATTTTATTGCATCTTTTCGGTGTTTTATTTTGCATCCTGCGTTGTCGTATGGTTAGGGCGAGGTGGGGAGTCGAGACCCGAAGTTTGGAGTTCTAGGTGCGGGCATGGGCAAAGCGAACATCTTTTCTTCGCTGTTTTACTTTTTTTCAATTTAAAACTGTAGTAGAGATTGGCAAGGGGGTAGATACATGCTCTCTATTTGTCCATAAAGAAACCTGGTAATAATAATAGTAGGGATAAGGTATCATGTCTTTCATCAAACGCCTCCCGTTGCCCACCAACTAACCCTCACAAATGAGATCAAAGTCTGGGAAATCGGGATCAGGTCCGATATTTGTGCTCGCAACAGGTGTGTTGAAGTCCTTGACTTGTGCACTTTTCTGCGCATTGAGGCATTTGTCTGTTTGTTGCAAGAAAAAACGGCATCAGCAAAATACACATCATCAAGCATCCATACAGTCAAGATTAAGACTTACTCTTCTGATCATCACAATCCTTAACCTTCAACCCTCCATTCTTCCCTCCCCCACCTCCTGCTTTGTTCGCCGCGTCACTACAGCCTTTGAGCTGCCTGTCACAAGAACGCTGAGCCGCAGAGTCAAAGTCGGTAAAAGTGTCACCGTCGACTTCGAATGGCCGTTTCTGGTCCCCAGATTTGGTGATGGGGGGTGCTGAGGCGCCGCCGAGTTTGCCGTCAAAGGTTTGCAGGTCGGAGAGTTGGCGTAAGAAGAGCATGTGGCGCGGGATCAGGGACATGTCTGCGGTTGAGGAGAGGAGGGGTGGCTGGGGTGAGGCGTGAGAGAGGGCGGGGAGGGCAAGGTACAGAAGAGCGAGCAGGGCCGAGGGGAGGAGCATGGTTGCTATGAATGTGGCGGTTCGGTGTTGGGTGGTATTATCTGGAAGGTTTCGAGGATACTGTAGTTGTCGTAGGCAGCAAGGCCGAGTGGTTGTGTATAGCTGTGAGTCGTGAACACCTAGTACGAACTTTGCGGAGGCGAAATTATTATTATCATCGGCCGTGTGTATGTCGTTCCAGTATCGTATTGCGGCCGGTTGTGGATTCCGTGTTCGCCGCTGGCTGTCGTGATGAAAGTCGTTCCGGTATGTCCAGCACCCCTACCCAGCGACAATAAAACCGCCCAGCAGTTTTGTACTTTCGTTGGTCGAACAAAAGAATTGAAATATCTGTTTAAACAAAGAAAGTCGAGAATACAAAACAAAACGAAAAGGCAACAAGACCCAGTCTGTTGCAAAACGAGGGGTGATATCCACCTCTCTCTGTACAAGTTACCTACAAAGAAAGCGCCAACAAGAGGGCGTGCGCGCAAGAGGGGGCAGGGTCACTTATTCACCTGTTCCTAGGGGGGAATTCCAGTAATGTCTCATGGCATGGCAATGCTGCAAGGCAAATGAGTGGAGAACGGCGCGTCGCGGGCGCCCTCTGCGACGGTGCTGAAACGCCATCACACGCGACCTTTTGGCGTGACCCGATCCAGGCACTTGCAGTAGAATTATGCAGAAACCATAGAAGGAAGGAAACAAGAAGGAAATTAAAATGCATAAACAAAGTGACGTAATTCTACCGTGGTCAGGGACGGCGATGATGCAGGGGAGAAGCGGGAGACATGGTTGATATAGGTATAATTAGATTTTGCTATAGTGGGGTATGATGATGATAAACATTCGTACAGAAACTCGCAGCTCGATTGCAAACTTTTCATGAAACAAGCACAGAGTGCAAACGCAGACACCATGCCGACAGGAAAGGCTGAGCAGACAAGTGGACGAAGAGTTTTTGGCACGTGTTTCCGAGTAGTGTAGATTAGCATGTACCCTACGGCTGAATAGTCTATCCATGCCTAGTGGCATCATGCACTGCCACCGTGAGGCGGTCATAAAACCCAGTCTGGCCAAGAAGGAAAAGTAAAAGGAATGATCCGTAGCAATGGTATCTAGCAGCATAATGTCGAAAGAAGACAGATATTAAAGTCGCCATGGTATTGTATGTACAACCCAATCTGGTTTAGTCATGAAATGGCTTCCCGCAGGTAGTCGTTGGTATCGTGATGGACCGTAGTGGTGGTCCATGTATCCGTTGATGTGGCTGCGCCTCGCCTAAAAGTTTGCCGCTGCATTGGGACGTCCTCCAGGACTGTTGTACTGGTCCTGGTAAGGGGAAGATGCAGGGCTGTGCTGGGGCTTGTCACCGAGGGCAGCTCCAGTGCCGGCCATGAGGTCATCGTCGTCTTCCTTGACACGTGCCTGGCGCTTCTTCATGCGCCAGAAGACGAGAGCAATGCCACCAAGCAGCAGAGCACCTCCGACGCCTCCGACGACACCACCGATGACCTTCTTGTTGGTGTCGCTGAGGCCACCATTGCTGTCGCTTGCCTGCTGTTCGGTAGGAGCTTCAGTGAAGGTGACCTGTCCAGTAGTAGCGACAGAGGTGCTGGTGCCGGTCGAGGTCTGGGTGATTTGCTGGTCGCCGCTCATGGTGACGATGGTGGTGGTGAACTCGCGCAGGGTGGTGGACAGCAGATCCGAGGTCCTTGTGATGGGCGCAGTCCTGACCGAAGACGGGGCCGAGGTAGTCCTTGAAGGGTTTGCACTTGTGCGTGCGGTTGAGGTGGCAGTGTTGTCATTGTTGTTGTCTCCTCTGGTGGGGGTTGGTGTAGGAGTGTTTGCGGGAGGATCGGATGTCACTGGTTGCGATGTGGGCGAGTTGTCGGATGGCTGGGACTGAGGTGCTGGCGACGAAGCTGGAGCGGGCGAGGATGCTGGAGCTTGTGAAGATGGAGCTGATGAGGGTGCTGCTGATGAGACGACACCGGTGCCCTCGGCGTCTTGCCTCTTGCCGTGGCGCAGGTACTGGTTGACGCCGTCCATGTGCAGGTCTTCAAAAGTAAAGGCAGACGAGACGGCGGCGAGGGCAAAGACAGCGCCGGAGAACCACGTCTTTGGAAGCATGTTTGGTGTTTCGCAGACGGAGAAACGGCAGTGAGCGGAGGGGTGCAGCAGGCAGCGGCTTTGAATGGTGGCAGGTGACGCGTCTTACAAATGGTGTTTGAGCCGCGGTATTAAGGGGAGAGGTAGTGTGGAGAGCAGCGAGTGGTGTGGTAAGGCTACAAAGAAGGGTCAGGGATGAACGAGGGATAGATGGACGAGAATAGGAGATGAGAGCGAGCGAGTGTCGGGATGACGGGTACGGATGACGGGTATGACGGGTATGGGTGCAGGCGGTGGTGTGTGTGTGGTGGTCGAGAGGGTGGAGACTGCAGGGCAAGCCAGTGGCAGCCAATTTTAGCCTCAGCCGCCCCAGACCCTGCGTGACAAGAAGCCTCAGTCTGAAAATTTGCTGGCCCCTAGCAGAAGCGGCTGCTCGAGTGGATGCGCGCGAGATAAGGGAGGAGAGAAGACAGGAGATAAAGACACGGGATAAAGCAAGAGAAAAAAGCACACCCGCCTCTTTCTCAGCTTCACTTCTTCTTTTTTTCTTCCTCTCACGCGCCCTCAGCCCAGAGGTCGTGTTGCTCTGCTCAACGAAGGCCGGCGCCCTGCATTCCGCACCCGTCGATTGGCCCGCCGGCGGTTTCCGCCCTTGTTGCAGGCAGTGTATCCGTCTGGTCGTGCGTCATCGCGCCGGGGGCTGGTAACATTTTGCAACCCAGCGCGCCCTGGTTGTTAGTCCCGGGCCTCCACATCTCCAGTTCTGCTGCCGTTAACTATCCTCTTCGCCCGTCCTACCGTCCGTCGTGGTCGCCCAAACGGACACCGCCTCCTTCGACAACGAAACGCTCGCTGCCACGATGCCACTATCGCTGACGCCCCACGAGGCCCTGTCCGGTGTCTTCGGCTCAATCTCGCTGGCTTCGTGGATCTTCCTGCTGGTACGTAACCGCGTCTGCGCGTGCGCTCACTTTGCGACTGGACGAGTGCAAAACGTCGAGACTTGGGCATGTGGTGATTTGGTGATTTGGTGACACTGCATTGGACCAGCCAGGTCGCACCTGCCCCGGCCCTGCCCCGCGACTGCCGCGACTGCCAATGCCTGCGTTGCGTCGCCTTGCGTTGCGTTGCATATCCACTTTGCTATTCATAGCACCCGCCCACGCGACTCGATGCTCGTACTGACACGCCCACCACGCAGGTCCCCCAGCTTATCGAAAACTACAAGTCCGGCTCTGCAGATGGCATTTCGCTCGCCTTCCTCATCGTCTGGTTCATCGGCGATGTCACCAACCTCGCTGGCGCCCTCTGGGCTGGCCTCGTCCCCACCGTCATCGCCCTCGCCATCTACTTTTGCTTTGCCGACCTCGTCCTCATTGCCCAATGCCTGTACTACAACATGAAGAATGCCCGCCGCGAGCGCAAGTCGTCCACCCGCTCCACCGATAGCGTCCAGGCCCCGCTGCTTGGCCGCCGCGACAGCAGCAACATTGGCCTCCCCGGCAGTCACAGGCGCGACTCCGCCGCCAGCCGCAGACGCCGCGCCAGCTCCCTGCCCACCATCCCAGACGTTACCCAGGCTTCTTCTACCGAATGGGTCAAGAACTCGCTGAGCATCCTGGGTGTCTGCGCTGTCGGTGCCGCCGGCTGGGCCATTGCCTGGCGGACGGGCGTCTGGGTGCCCCAGCCCACGCACGACGATGCCGGCAACACCTCTGACAGCCCCTTCGGAGCCCAGGTCCTGGGCTATGCCAGCGCAGTCTGCTACCTCGGCGCCCGCATCCCCCAGATCATCAAGAACCAGCGCGAAAAGTCTTGCGAAGGCTTGTCGCTGCTCTTCTTTATCCTGAGCTTGCTCGGCAACGCTACCTATGGTGCAGGAGTGAGTTTCTTCTTCTTTGCTTTTCCCCCATGCTATAGATTGGTCCAATATATCTAACCCACTTCCCTTTTCACGCAGATCATCTTCCATTCGCAGGAGAAACAGTACATCCTCACCAACCTCCCCTGGCTCATCGGCTCCCTCGGCACAATGGTCGAAGACG